CAAGTAGCAGTGTGTTCTAAATTAACCAACCACCCTTTGGCCCAGATGCCCCTAGAGCAGTGTTCTCAACCTTCCTAATGCTGTGATCCTACAACACAGTTCATCATGCTGTGGTGACCCCCAGCTATAAAATTATTCTATTACTGCTTCATAACCGTAATGTTGCTGCTGTTGTGAATCATAAAGTAAATATCTGTGTTTTCCCAGGGTCTTAGGCAACCCCTGTGAGAAGGTCATTCAATGCCCAAAAGGATCATGACCCACAGATTGAGAAACACTGCCCTATCCAAGGCTAAGACCAGCAGACAAACAAGAAGGGCCTGACCCTAAACATCTACAGAATTGGAAAAGGTAGAAAGAGCTGAGGAGGCGAGAGAGCTGCAAGAGACACAGTTTCACCACCGGCTAAGCACTGCGTGGGGCTGACCAGGATTCTACCAGGTACCTCCTTGTCTCTCCTTTATGAAGCAGTGAAGCAGGGCCTTTCTTACACAGGACAGGGGAGAAGTTTCTTCAGATATATATCTGAGGCTAGGGTTATTAGAGCTGGTGACAGCAAACACCTCTAGTGTCCCCGACTTGGAGACAGAGGCAGATGAATCTCTGAGTTTGAGTCTAGCCTGATCTACACAGTGGAGTTCCAAGACAGCCAGGGCTACACAGAGAATGAGACCCTGAGTTTAATCCTAGCCCTGAGGGGTTAGGAAGTCATGATTTCTTACCTAGGCAATGACCAATATTGATTCTTTTTGTTTTTGTTTTTGTTTTGTTTTTCGAAACACGGTTTCTCTGTATAGCCCTGGCTGTCCTGGAACTCACTCTGTAGACCAGGCTGGCCTCGAACTCCGAAATCCTCCTGCCTCTGCCTCCCGAGTGCTGGGGTTAAAGGCGTGCGCCACCACCGCCCAGCTCTTTTTTCTTTTCTTTCTCTCCCGCCTGGGCCAAGTAGGTTGTGCAAAAGCAAGCTGACTTGTTCTGTTCTGTGGATGTCTGCAGTCACCTTCTGTGGGGTAGCGAGTGTTTCCCTGTCCCCTGGTGTCCTTTTTATGTCTCGTTGTTGTCATCTCACTGTTGTTAAAATTATCTTCATCGTTACACTAAATCTTAGCTAAAAGGCAGAGCAGTGATTATCATCATTGTTATTTTTATTTGCTATATTGGGAGTTGAACCCAGGACCTCATACAGACTAGGCAATGCTACCAAAGATCTATATCCTCACCTCTAAAGATTCCTCTTCCTCCCTCCAGCTATTTGTATTGTTGGGATCATGCTGGCCTCAAGTCTGAGATGCTCCTGCCTCAGTCTACTGAATGCTGGGATTTTTCTCATCTGGAGTCACCTTGTGGAGTTCCTTCCTATGAGATAGAAGTAGATAGAACTAGACAGATGGTCGAAGCCATCAGTGCTGCCACCAACCCATCGAATAACCTGTTTGCTTGTTAATTTGTTTGTTTGTTTTAGATTATTTTGAAACATGATCTCAGTATGTAGCAGTGGCCTGCCTGGAACTTGCTATGTTGACTAGGCTAGCTCCAAAGTCACAGGGATCCAGCTGCCTCTGCCTTCCAGGTGTTGGCATTAAAGGTGTGCACAGCATAGTCAGTCAGGTGTAGTGGCGCTCACCTTTAATCTCAGCACGAGGGAAGCAGGAGCAGGTGGAGCTCTGTGAGGTGAAGGTTGGTCTGGTCTACATAGTGAGCCTCAGGACAGTCAGGACTACAGAGTGAGTCTTGACTCAGAAAGCAAAAATTGGTGGGTTGGGGGGGAGGAATCCCCAAAATACTAAAATCAAAATGAAGTGCATGAGTCTGCAGTTGTCAGCATTTAACAAGTGTTCCCGGAGGTCTTAGAGAATTTTTGTAGTCGAATGCCCCCACCCATAGGGTCCTTCCCAGACTCAAAGCTCTTCTCCCCTGGCATTATAGGTTCACCTGCTAATCTATCTCTGTGTTGGCTTTTCTCTCTCTGTAATCAGAAGTGGGAGCACACAGCATGAGGTCCTTCTCTTAGCACAGTCTTGAAGGTTTATCCACAGTGTATGTGGCAGCACGACATTTTTTATAGCTGAGTCACACTCTGTTTTGCGATTACAAGACATTTTGTTTTCCCAAGCATCCGATGATACACAGGAGTTGCTTCCACCTCTAGGCTCCTGGGACTAATGCCGCTGTGCGTGTTTGGTAACGTTAATGTGGGGATCCATATTTCTTCAGGGCGTATGCCCAGTCTCCTGTCCACATGTTTGCCAGGAAGATACTTTTACACACTCAGGGCAAGATCCCTCTGAACATTCTGTGAACAAGCCTCGAGCCCCAGGTGAGGCTGGTGAAACTGAAACTGTACTCAAGCTTCAAGGTTCACTTCATGTGACACCCACTGTATCTGCCATCTACCTGGTGACAGGCACTGTGCCAAATACAGCAAGGAACAGCATAGCACACACATTCTTATCCCTTAGGAGGCGGAGGATTCAAAGTGTGTGTGAAAGGAGTTACAGATGCTGGGATAACTTCCTCCCTAAAGTTTCCCGGGTTAGAGGACAACTTTTGGAAATGTGTCCTCTCCTTCCACTGTGGCTTTCAGGGATCAAAGTGAGGTAGGCCATCAGACTGTGTGGAGAGCATGTTTACCAGCTGAGCCATCAAACTGGCACTGTGGTCTTGAACGTCTGACCTTTCTGCTTCCACCTCAGGGGTTTGTGAACCACTATGCCAGGTTTGTGTGGATCTAGGGATGGAACCCAGAACTCTCTGAATACAAGTCAGGACAGTTCTACCAACTGAATTATATTCATAGCCCTGTGTGTTGGTCGAGACAGGATCTCATGTAGCCCAGGTTGGATTTGAATGTGCAATGTAGCTCAGATTGATTGACCCTATAACCCCCAAACTTGCCAAGTGTTGGGACTTCAGGTTTATCTCACATCTGACTGTCATAGTTTTCCTTCAGAAGAACCTCCTTTACTATTAACAATGCATGTGTAGCCCTCAGCACATCTCAGGTGCTATAAAGGAAGGATTTACTACTGTCTGTGTGTCCTTCCATTTGTGTCCATGTGGAGGATGACATGTCAAAACACTGGTTTGGGGGCTGGAATCTTCAGCTGTCTGGATGGGCTGGGTCGAGTGGGCAGTAATATGGGAATATTCTAACATTTTAAAACGAAGCCTTTTTCAGCACCAACAAGGTCACCCCAAGCCAGAGGCTTCTGGGTTCTTGTCTCTCAATTTTGAAGAATGAAATTCATGAACTACGGAAGGTGAGTTTTAGGAAGGGGGGGGGGAAGTACTGTAGGGAGCTGAAGGGAGAGAAAGAAGGCAAAGGTCCCGAGCACTGGGAGGGATGGGGAGGGTGTGGGATCCCGCTGTGGAGCTTCCCAAGGCCTGGGAGTTAATAGGACTTTAGCCTTTAGTGGGACGGAGGCAGGAAGGAGGACGAGCTGGTCAGTCCAGTTTTCATTCCAGGTGTTGAAGTCATTTCAGTTTGGGTGACAGCCTCTGTATGGCTTCCAGGAAAGGTCATCCCTTTGGAGAACGGAGATGAAGACCCTCTTCTTGACAGCCAGAGACACTTTTGGCTTAGACACTGGAAACATCTTTAGCTCCTGCCAAGGACAAAGCTCTGGACATGCTGGAGGACACTTTTGGCTTTTAGCCAAGAAAGGCTGCTCATCTTTGTTTGGACATTTTACCCTAAAATAAGCAGCCAGTTTCCACCTGTTATCAGCAGCTGGGACAGCTGGCCTTGGACCTGCCTTTCCACAAGTTTTCTGAGTTCCTCCGGTATCCCACTCAACTGGGGTTCAGTCACGATACTTCCACTCCTGTCCTTAACTCGGACCCCACCAACAGAGCCTTGAAATCCACTAGTTCCATACCTCTCTTATAGGCACAAGCCTGGCTATAAGATACCATGTTGTCACCAGGCCATTCCTATATTACAAGGTAGACCTAAGGATTGGAGAAATCTGAGGGTGCTTGCCGGAGACCCTGGGGTGGGGTTGGGGGTATGCTATGACCTGTCAACTAGACCAGCCAGTTTCTACAACACAAGATGGGGGAGATTCATATGGCCTGGCAGGATTTCTGAATTTCATAACATGCCTTGGACAAAAGTTCAAGGGGTCTTGGTTTTGGTTTCCCTCCCTCC